CAATGCAGTAATTTATGGGTAAACACACGCCCGAAGGACTCTGTCTATAAATCAAACAAGCCATCAATAAATCACAAACTGGTGACGTGCCATCAAAACATGGTCATTTGAAGGATCTGCCAGTCGCTCTGACTGCATTTATGTCACAATGTGTAATTTAGTCAAAGGACATTAGGAGCGGGAGCGGGAGGAGTGGCTGGAGGAGGACCTGAAACCAATAAACAATGCCAATTAATACTCATTTTCCAATGACAGCAATTTATTGGCGAAACACAAACACACAGGAAATGGATTTGATTTGGGAATACGCTCTCCATCTCGTCCTTTTGATTGTTTGTCCGGCTGTCCTGTCTGCAGGACAACAACTTCATAATCAAAGTGTTGGCAAAAATGTGAAACAGAAACAGGACAGACCAGAAAAAGGTCCTGTTTAAATTCCGGAGAAAAAATAAAGGCCAAATACTTTGTTAATCAAAAGTGAATTAGTGCGGAGTGGGAACATTGCTGCATAGTTCGACTTTTTCGGCCACGATTCCATGTGTATTCTGTGTCCTGGCCTGGTTTCTGACTTTCCGGCGTGGGCCAGGGCGTGGGTGTGAGCGGTGTTCTGGCCCGCGTGCATAATCAGTAATTTGATTAAATAAATGATTAAATAAAATTGATGGATTGGCAGAGCAGACGCAGAGGCTAGCCGCAAACACCTTTTTTCCCAACCGCAGAAACACAGAAACGCCCGCTTCTCTTCCGTCATTAATTTCTTTTGCCATTTTATTTATTTATTTTTTTTTTTTGTGTTTTATCTCTTGCGCCACATTTTTTTTTTTTTTGCCAGAACATTGATTAATTCGATTGTTGATTCAATTAATTTGTCCGTCATGGCCGAAATGCGTAAGCGCCGAGCATGGCCTCTGGAAGCTCACCGCCGCCTGGGCCTTGCCTCGGAATCTCCGTCTAATGAAGTGCTAATTAGAGGCCACCGACGAATATGAATTATGGTCTCTGGCCACGCCTGGAAGTCAAGTGGAAGTGCCTGGACGTTCCGGGTCAGGGCACAGCTTCCTGCAAAGGCCTAATCCACAATCCTTTCACAATTTGCAGGAAAATGCCAGTTTTATTCGCCGACCACACGTGCATGCAACTCATGGTGATTGATTGCCTCCGACTCTGGACTGCCTTTGTCTTGTCCTTACAGAGCGCCCGGCCTTCCAAGGACTAAACTTACCATCTCTAAATGAATATTACATTTGATTTGCTTTCATATTTCATGCAAATTAAGTGGGCTTTGTGCTCTGTTCTGGAAGCCTGCACTCAGCCTGATTAAAACTAAATAGGATTTGCTTTCAAGCGCATCATCCGAGGATAGAACTGCCGCAGTCAGTTTAATTATTGAATCTTATATTTCGACAATGGAATTACGAGAATCAACACTCTGCAGCTACTGATGGAAAATTACCAGAAAGCCCATTGTTCTCAGAGCCTAACCTTTCCTGCCAAGCGCCATAAGTGTGTGGAGAAGAAGGGGCCCTGGAGAAACCGCAACGCCTCGGCCTTGCCCCCAGTCCTCGGTTCCAGTATCCACACACCCACAGGAAAACGGAACGGTCTCAGTGGCAATCTCAATCTCAGTTCCACTCGCAGCCGCAGACTGTGAAATGCCGAGACGAGAAAGGAAACCCTGGGACCTGTTGCCAAAGGATCCGTCCGCAAACCACATGGCGCAGGATGACTAGCCGGGGCTCATGGCTCGTGGCTCCTTGCTGAAGGCTCAAGGCTCAGGGGCTTCCTCTCCTGCATTGTTTGGGGCCTCATCAAAAGGAAAAGCCACTCCCACAGACGTTTTTTTCACTCGGCTGATGTTTTCTTTTCATTGGCATTTGGTGAGCCGTGTAATAATTGCTACTCTGAGTACCTACAAGGATGCTGAGGTCCTGTATGTTCAACTTTGTTGTGAAAGTGCCGGATACATTGAACATTTTTCTGCAGACTCCTCATTGAACTTCAAGCCTATAGGCTTTAATCGTCTAAAGTTGAGGAACAGAGACCCCTTTTTTTGTCAGTGCACCCGTCGAGGTATACAATTAGCCGAAGGGAACAAAGAAAGTTGGCTCCACTGGCAAGGATTTCCTGGTATTTATTTTGAGAAACACTTTCCCTTTTCGAGGGCGGATTCGAGACATATGTCCTCACGGAAGGTCCCTCCCCTCCCCAGCTCCGAGTATTTTTTCCCCTGCCAGGATACTTTGATGTCAATGAACCTGATCGGGAGGGGCTGTCGAGGTGGCGCTTCCCTATGACAGCATCGATGTTGTTTACATATTCCAACCCCCGCCGCCCAGCCCTGGAGCTCTTCCGGAATGTGCCACTCCCATCGGCGCCTCCCTGCACGCGCTGCTCAGTTTTCGGCGACACTAAATCTAAATTCAATATGTTGTCGGTTTAACATATTTCATCTCAAGCTTTGGCTCTGTCCTGGCACTGGCACTGGCTATGTCCTGGCCGTGCTTCGTTTGCATAGTGCCAGTGTGTGCGAGCACTTTTGTGCGTAGCTGTGGGCAAACAACGTGTTGTGCCAATATTTGCCAGGCCCACAGGCCCTCTTATGCAAAAAACAAAACACCAGGACAGGACGACAAAAGATGGAAGAGCCCAAATCGGAGAAATAAAAAACTGACCGACGATAAATTATTGAAATTACATATTGCCTTTTTTCGGGCCTCTCGTGTTTGCCGAGGAATTAAATTTGGGCGATTGTATTACCAAGGCTAACCAAAAAGCTGACCAAAGCTGACCAAGGCGGTCTAATGTTACAATCGGCCGCAGGACTAACGTCCTGCCGACTGGTAATGAGATCACAAAGTTGATTTTGATTGAGTTTGTCTTTGAGTTTGGGATCTCGGGCTCAGGCTCAGTTTAAATTGGTTTCGGCCTTGATTTGCTTGCCGACTGTCGAGGTGAGGTGCTCCACGCTGTTTGGCTTATGAAAGGGATTATGGCCAGAGTCCTCTGGCCATTAGTGTGCAAATATTTGGGAGTTCAATACTGGCATTCGGTACGGAAGTGTGAGCCATTGAAGTCCCAAAAGAAGGCAAAGCCCGGGGGCTGCAAAAACTTTTGGTTGTAAAGCATTTAAAAAATTAATTGTTGCCCTTTGCGGGTCGGACCGATAAACCTTTCAGCGGCGCCCATAAACAACATCAAAAGGACTCCGACAAGGAGTCATTAAAATCGTGATTAGCACAGGAGCCACAGGTGCCATTAAGTGGCCCAAAGACCCAGGAGTCCAACAGTCCGCCAGAAGCCAGAGGCCGAAAGCCAGAAGTGGAAAGTAGCGGCAACCATGGCGGGAAAAAATCCGCCAGGATCAGAGAAGCTTTGTTTGTTTGCCGGTCGACTGGCTACAATTTTAGCTGCCCGACCGGGTACAAGCGGTAAAAAAAAACTGGCCAACAGCAAATAAGCCAGCTGAGCGACCGCAAACGGGCCTCTCCTAATGTTTTTCTTTCAATAATTCGTGCACGGCGGAGCCTGGCCCCAAAAAAAAAAAACATTCAATATGCTGCGGTCGGGCTGGACAAAGGACCTCCGAAAGGGTTCTAGCCATTTGCCTTTGTGCGTGCTGCACTTCTCCTTGACTTCTTTTTTTGTCAAATTTGCGACCCGGCTGTTGCTTTTTATGCTTCTTTTTTTTTGTGGCCCAGTCCTGGTCGGTTCTGTTTGGTTTGCAACCGCAATGGCTCTGGTTTTTTTTTTTTTTTTGTGTTTCGACCGGCCGCGGCCACAGGTCAGAACTCAAAAGGTTTTCCATGTTTTACGCCATTTATTCGGGGACCCATATGCCCTCTGAATGCCATCCAGCCTGCCGGCTTGCCTGCCTGCCTGAGCCCTGATAAGTATTTGCAATTTGGTGCAGCGCCAATGAAAATCGATTTCATGTCGGCTTAATTATGTGGAAAAAATGCTCATATATAATTAACAAAGGACCAGTTGCCAGTCGGGGTTTTTATGAGGGCTGGCAGCGCCTATTTCAGCTGGAGAGCGATAAGCTTGACACATCCTTGGTATGGAATGTCCAGAGTCTAGAGACTGCGGCAATCGCTCCATTAAAGCCAATGGGTGCTGATGCTGCAACCTCGCTGGATCGCCGGAGAATCAAATTAATTCACTGGCGGGGCAGCAGTCTTCCAATTCTACCGTTGAATGCCCCCCAGTGGACGTGGACCTAATCGCATTCTCAGCTAAGTGCATTAAGTATAATTTTAATAGGTTTCTGACTCGGACTGAGACTGAGACTGGGACTGGCAGTCTGATAATTGCCAGTTGTCGTAGTTGCTGGCCATTGTCGCCCTCGAAAATCGATGCCCTGCCGCGGGGTAACTGGTGGCTGGCGTCCTGGCCAGCATCCTGTCATGTGAAAGCGCACTTTCGACAGTTACTTCGCCAGCACTACTTCCCAGGCACACGGACAGAAAAAACACAGAAAAAACTTCGGAGCAAAGTCAAGGCAAAGTGCAAGTTTACTGCCTGACAAGTTTTCAAACTGCAAGTTGCCGAGTTTTATTCTCATTTCTTATGTTTCTGTTATATCAATTTTGCTCGCCGCTGCTCTGGTTTTTTATTTTATGCAACTTTAAGCTGTTTGTGCAGGAAGTTCGCCCCGGACGAGATCCGCAAACTTTTCCCAGGAAGTCCCGCCAAGGAGTTTGGCTTTCCAATATCTCAGCTCTGCGCTCTGAGCTCCCAGAGCTCTGGATGGAATTCTTTAATAACATCTGATGGATGGACTTCAAAGCCACAACAATTATCCTTCCGAACACAACCGAACTGATTTCGGAAGGATATACATATCTGAGGAAGAACTCCTTTTGAAATTCTTGAAAACTTTCACTTTCTCTGGCCAGGCCAACAAAATACATTTCAATACGGGACTCCCGCCATGAGTCCCGGGATCTTTCAAAAATTAAAAAAAAAACACAATAATAACAGAAGCACACTGTATTTACCTGAGAAATTCCTGGCGTTCACAAAAATCACTTTTGGTCGCAGTTTTCGGTTCAAAAGTTTTTCAGATTTTCTCGCTTGGTTTTTCGGGCAAAAGTCACACAAACAAAAATGTTGAAAAAAATGTATTTCGGAATGGGATTGGGAACTTTGTGTGTTGTTTTATGTTTCCTGGTTTGTTGAAAAGTTTTTTGCACATTTCCCTACGTATTTATTTTCTTTTTTTTTTTTTTTTTTACGTATTTCTATACTTCTTCAGATGGCCGGAATCCGAAATGTGAAATATCGAAACGGATTCCGATCTAATGCCACCACGGTTCTGAGGCTGTTTTGGCTATCAGTTTTTTCGGCTGTCAGTTCTTGGCTCTTGGCTGGGGCTGTGTTCGCCTTAAAAAACCCGCAACGACTGAATCAAAACAAACAAATTTCTTTGGTTTTATTCGAAAAAGTTTCCTCTGGTGTTGGCGGATATTTGACTGCCAACGTGTCGGGGGAGCTCGGAAAAGCGAGGCTGTCGTCGGCCGAGCCGTCGTGGCAAGCGGCTGTGTCCGGCCCCAGAGTGTTCCCAACTGCTTTTATCCGGCCACATGTTATCCGACTTATCCGCGGGCCATCTTATCCGTGCGTCTGCGCAGTACTGGACTCCGGAGTTTTTTGTTTACATGGCCCCGGCCTGCCCTATGCCCTCTACCCTCTACCCACTCCCGGCCCAGTGCTGCTTTTGTTTAAACGTTTTTTAATCTCTTAGCACCGCGCTTTGTTTTGACTGCTCTCAGCTGTTTTACATCCAGCCAAGGTGTTTGACACTTTGCCGCAGCCCTCCATGCCGCCCACATCCTGCCTGCCAGCCAGCCAGCTACGAACGCATCTTCATCCTAGAGAACTTACTCAATCACCAGACGACAGGATTGCGCTTCCAGTTCTCGACAAGCCGAACAGGCGATACTCTGGGCCCTGCTCTGTAGAGGTCTTGGTATCCGAGAAGGACTACACCCATTGGCAGGGCATCGGTGAAATTTGTTTTATGATTTAAGCTATGCGGTTGCCATTTTATGTTGGCGGTGCGGCATTTGGTCATTGACTTGCCAGCTAGAATGCGAAAAGTCATTAACTTTTATGTATCTGTGCTGTGAGTCCGGGGGAGCCTGTGGAAATGCAATTTCCTTATCAGCTTCGGCTGCCATTTATGGCGGGTATCGTCATCTAATATCCAGCCATCTAGTCATCTGGCTGGTCGCCGGTCTCCGGTCTCCATTGAACTCTGATTCGATTTGGAGGATGATTGATTCTTTGTTGCCAACAATTAGAAGCTCAAGTCGCAAGCCTCTCTCCTGTTCGGTATTAAACAAAAGGAAGTATCTGAATCAGAGTCTGAAGCTGGCGTTGCTTTGGTTTCGAGCCACTTGAGTCGCTCAGCCACTCGATTAGATTCCAGAATCCCCGGCAGTATCGAAGCCAGGGCCATTGTGTCTCGTTTATGAGTGGCCACTGCCCGGAATCAATAAGCCCAGCACTGAGCGATGGCTTGAGAGATAGATGTTGTAAGGGATACTGTAAGGTCCTTGCACAAGCTAATCCTTTTGCACAGTGTAGGACTAAGCCAACATATTGAATCCGAAACGCATGAACTATCCGTACTTGAAGCAACATTTCTTATTAATCAAAACGGCAACTGAAGCCTTTCGTCCGGGCATTTGAAGGGGACTTTTCCGTATCCGTATCCGTATCCGCATTCACATCCGTATCTGTCTCCAGCCACTGCTCCGACCGTAACTTTAACAGCCCTTGGCACGTCTGTCAGCTCCCACTGCCATCCAGAGTCCTGATTTACTGATTCCGCCCCAGGAGCAGCCCGCACACACGCTTTTGAAATGCAAAGCGACTGTCTCCGCACAGTTGCCTCACAGTTGCCTCAAAGTTGCAGTCACTGTCACAGTTTCGGCTTCAGCTCCAGCTCCAGCTCCGGTTCCGGTGCAGTTGCAGTTGCAGGTCTGGGAGTCTGGTGCTGGTTGGTGGCATTATAATTGCATTTTTGAGCCCCAACGCCCAGGGCACTAGAAACCAAACCGAGTCCGAAGTCGCAACGGATCAGCATTGCAGTAGGGGAGAGGCCCAAAAAAAAGTGGCACGGAGGACGAAAGATGAAAGGCTGCCGGTGGCAAGTGTGGCGACTAAGAAGTGCCTCGGGCGTGGCAGCAAATGGGAAGCAACTGATTGATTTCAACAAAGGAGTGCATTTGGTTAGAGGCTGGTGAGTACTCCTTTGTCTGCGGAAGGACAAAGCCTGGCTTGATCACTTTCCGAGATATCCTTAATGAATCCATATCCCCTTCCTCCAAGCCCAAAGGACAAAGTGCCTGCGCAGCTCACATACTCGCAGCTGGTGCCTCTGAAGGGTAAGATGGAGAATTCAATTTCAAAGAATTCGGTCAGCAGCACTCCGAGTGATTGATATGCCCGGGGCTCCATGCGAGCATGTCCATAAAATGCCAGTGATTCTGGCAGGATCTGAGAACTAAGGATTCTGGGAATCTGGCCTCCATGGAGCTTCTCTCAAATCTGGCAAGGTGGCGGCATAATCCGATTTGAAAGGCGAGCACAGCCCACTCGAGCGGACATGAATCGCTTCAGTGCGCCGCAATCTGCATTGTTCGGAGGCTCCAAGGAGCATCCTTTCACTCGAAAGCCGCTGTCAAGTGTGGAATCCACTCGTCGAATCCCGCGAAAGCCCATAAGCAGGCCGATCAGGCCATGCAATTCGAATTTAAATGCCACCGATTAATGTTTATTTGCCAGGCAGGCTGGCAGGCGGACAGGCAGGCAGGCTGTGTCCCTCCAGGCTCGGCTCTTTTCATTAATAACGTCATCGTTATCCTGCCAGCAATTATCATCAGCTTGGGCTTATTTATCGGCCAGAAGCACTTAAACGCACGCCATCCTTGCGAAGTCCCGGCATCGATACAGAGACACTTCCGATATTCATGAAAATTTTAATTTTAATTTTAATTTTAATTTTAATTGTTATTGCTGCACGGCACACGGCATTCAAATGAAAACTGATTAAAGTTTAAGCCTTCATGTGCATATGCTTGCACTGTTCCGGATATGGGATATGCCTTCAAAGGCCTCCTCCAATCCTTCCATCAGATGTATCCATTTCTGATCTGCTTCCAGCTCCCAGCCAGTCGCCCCGGATGTGGCTTTGTCGAATCGACTCAATCGTTTGTTTTGGACGGCCTAAGCCCTGCCGTCTCGCTTCCGGCCCTGGCAGTCGCCATTCGTCTTGGGAAGCCCCACCAGGCGGCGCTTCACACACGCGTGTGTGTCTATAAATAAAGGATATTACCTGTTTTCGAGCATTTCATCTCATCGATGTTGCTTTTTAACTTGTAAGGTAGTGGGTAGGGGTGGTGGGCACCCCTTTGAGTCAGGTTGAGTGGCTTGTGTTGTCTATTTCCAATTTTTCAGCCAAGGACCCGGTCTTTGAAGGATATAAATGGAAATCCTTGAATGCCTCGAGTGTGGGAGAAAGATGTTACCCTTTATAGGCGTTGGGCCTTTCCGCTACACTCTTATTATCGATTTGCATTATTGGAACATCCTCAAGATACATCCTGAGACACTCTCACATGTTCTGAATCGAGTGACTTTGGTGCTTAGTCATTTTAATTGTTGGGTATTCCACGGAGAGGCTTTCCCCACCACGACTCTCTTTACTTTATATATTTTTATGCCACAACCGGAGCCGGAGCCAGAGCCAGCGGCGGAAGTGGCAGAACATCACCCACAATGCGTGTGCTTGTCGTATTGGTATTTCTTTGACAACCAACAAACAAGTCCCCCCCTCCCAGGACACCACTCCTCGGGGCACTTTCGGAGGTGTACGCATTGCTGTGTGCGTTGCAAATTGAATTCAACATATTTGCTTTAAATGCCTTTTTATCCCCTTCGATGTGGTACCCTCCCTCGCCGGGTGTTATGGGCCCAAGGACGGCAGTTATTACTGAGCTTGGGAGACTGATGGGTGGTGCTGGGTACTACCCATTCGACTGCTGGGAAACCCTTTCCAGGACTCCAGTTTGCTTGTCTTTCATTTGCATAGGTGATGTGTGTGGTGGTCCTGGATGCTCGCCGAAACCACCTGCCATGTCCTCCTCTCCCAGGACCTCCCGGACCCCTCCCGTCTTGAGCACGTAGCTGGTGCTGGCAGTGTGGTTGCCGGCTAGTGTGGGAAAGATTAGCGCTTAAATCATGATTACCGCAGCAGTGGCAGTAATTAGGAGGCACTAACCGCAGGGGGGGCTAAGGAGGTCTGCGAAGGTGACAAGGACGAGTGGGCGGCGGGTGGCAGGGCGACACTACAGTGGGTTATAAATACTCTCAAGATTGCAGTCTGCCTTCCCCCCTCCAGCCACAAGTAAATTCCTTCCCCCCTGGCAGGAGGGTGGGGCGGTGAACGATGCCAGCAATTTGCTATTACTTATCTCGGTTATTGTTATGTGTGTGGGCGCCTTGTTATGCATTTGCTTATGCTGGGTGCTTGCCAATAGATATACATCCCACAGAGGGCCACAATAGCACTCCACATGGGACTCTCGTCCTGCCCTCCCCACACACACATACACACATTACAACGATGGGAATGCCAGGCGTGTACTGTTCTCCTTCGATTCCATATAATATCCCCCCTGCTGGGCACAAAACACCCCCTGAAAATGCAGCTTTGTGGTCAGAAGAGGCCATCCAGAGTCCAGAATGAAAGTGCCAGTGCGTTGGAGATTATTATTGTTTCTCGAAATATTCCAATTCCGATTCCAACACAACATTCCGGCCAATTAGCCAAGCTGACGATGAAACAAAACGCTGGCCAGTGCATAATTCAAGCTCCTGGATGGACAGAGGATGGCAACAACTTTTTTAATTATTCATAATTCAGCAACTATCGCACACAGTTAGCTCCACAAAGGCCGCACCGGGCGGGTGTATCTCGCAAATTAATTAGACCAGCGGAGGAGTTAAAAGTTTGCCGTCCAGGGGCCCCGAGGCGGAAAAAAAGAACGCAGCCAGCCAAGTTAACGCGAGCTTGTAACTCATCCCGGAATATAATGGAGCGAGGTCCGGCGGATAATTGAATAGACGCACCAGGCCACCAGGACCACCAGTACCACCAGGTCAGCAGCCATCAGCCAGCGAGCTTGGCTAAAATCATGTAAAATGCGGCTTTGACGGGCCACGCATAACGTCCTCCATGGGATGCATATAACGCATACGCCGCGTATGCAACTGGAAACTGTGGCTGCTCGCGGAGGGCAAATTTCATTAGGGGTGGGCTGCCACCATCCCACCACCCTCAACGCCGACCCTGCTGCTGCCCCCGCCAATCAACACTAC